TGCTTGTCTCCCACATGACCCTGACCAGGGCAGGGGATTGAACTCAACCTAGTCATGTGCCCTTGACTGGGAATCGAACCTGAGACCCTTTGATCTGCCAGCAGATGCTCTAACTGTTGAGCCAAGCCGGCCAGGGCAACTTTGATTATTTTAACATTTCACAATATATTTTGCTGGTCAGCTATATTGATAAAATGTCATGTTAATTATATTTGGTAAACAAGAAGTGAGATGTTCTAAGGAAATGTGCCAGAGGGTAGGAGATAAACCCTATCAAGATTCAGAGCCTGTTGGATGGGTGAATAGTCTGGCCACGTCAATTCATCCTTTTATAAGATCAATTCTTTGTATCTCTCACCCCTTAATACTAAGAAAGAGACACAGCACCCGATGGGTTTCCGGATTTTGGAGACAATATGTACTTCCTTTGGGGAAAATTGCTACAACCCATTTATTGGGTAACTTAGAAGGCTATCAGTTTTGAGTGAGATTCTGATTAAGAGAGGGCTCTATTGCAGGTCCAGGCTGTGAGCAGCCCTGGCATTTAGATGATATGATCCAGCCTAGCCAAGGTGCTAGTGATAAGTACACTATGAGGCGTCTCCAATAAGTCCCAACAAGAAACCTATAATTCAGACCTCTGGGGTTCCAGAGCAAAGCCATGCCTTCTGCAGAGAGGAGAAGGTTCTGTTTGAAAAGAAGGTCCTGAAGTGAACCTTAGTAGAGACTGAGCGCCTAACCATGAAACATCAAGTAACTATGAAACTGGAGTTGCTTGTTATAAGGTATATATTGTCAGACCCACCATATCAAGAGATGGACCTATGCAGAGTAATCCTTGCTATGGTGGAAATTATTTATTCAGGATTGGGCTCAAGTAGACACAGAAGGCACAGATAAGTTACATAAACAAGTGAGCAAAACCTCCAAGACCCCTGCATCTTTTGCAGCAACACCTTACCTCAAACCTTGCGGGGGTTCACATAACCAGATAAAGGAAGAAGGAAAAACTTGGGTCTAGTTCATAGATGGGTCAGGTTGGTATATTGATATGAGCCAACTACTGCTGCAGCACATTCCCACTCAGGGATGTACTTAAAGTGCAGCATTGGATGGTGGTGGGGAATCCTTTCTGTGCGTAGAGCTTTGAGAATAGTCATCATTTTTTTATGGAGCGAGTAATGACCTAAATTAAAGGTATACATGGTTGCCTGTATAGTAACAAATTATATGAAAGGAGAAAGAGTAGAAACTAGGAACTCTGGGAAAGAAACATGTACATGACCCATCAGGATGGGCATAAGTGTGTGGAACTTTGTCTCTCAATCAAGGCCTACCTGAAGATATCACTTCTGTGACACACTGAGAAACTCAGTGAATAGAATGATTCATCCAGTGCCTGTCAGCTAGCCTCTGTCATTGGCTACCTCAGTGCTTGCAAAATGATCCCATGAATGGAATAGCCACAGTGGTATTGGTGAGGCCATGTGTTGGACCAACAGCACAAGCTCCTCTTTCACTGAGGCTAATCTAGTTATTGACACTGTTGACTGCCTGATTGTAGAGCAACAGAGAGAGAACCTGAGCAGCCCATAGGGTACCATCTCTTGAACAGCATAGCCAGCTAATTATATCAAACCCCTTCATCATGGAGGGGGCAGTTATTCCTCCTTCCTGGGATTGGCATATATGTGGTATGATTATATTATATAAAGTGTCCAGAATAGGCAAATCCATAGAAACAGAACACAGTCAGTGGTTGCCAGGGCTGGGTACAAGAGGGATGGGGAGTGACTGCTGACGGGTATGGAGTTTTATTTTGTAGTGATGAAATTCTGGAATTAGATAGCCGTAATGGTTGTAAAGCTTGATGAATATACTAAAAGCATTGAATTGTACACTTTAAAATAAATAAACATTATAGACATCACATGCAGCAGAATTTTTCCCTGATACAATGCCTAAGGCAAGAGAAACAAAGGAAAAAATGAACACATGGGACTACATCAAACTAAAAAGCTTCTGCACAGCAAAACAAATAACCATCAAAATGGAAAGGGAACCTACTATATGGGAGAGCATAATTGTCAATGATGCATCAGATAAGGGGTTAATTTCCAAAATATATAGAGTACTCATACAACTCAACAAAAGGAAGACAAAGGACCCAATTAAAAAATGGGCAGAGGTCCCCAGGGCTCTGGGAAGGGGTTCTTTGAGTAATATGGCTACTGTCCTGTGAGGAAGTGATTCAGCAAAAAACTCTTAGTGCCCTCCCAGCTCTCTAAGCTCCTGAGTTTCCACACAGTTCCAATTCAGTCTGTTCTCTCTCTCTGCTGGAGCCCAAGGAAGAAGAAAACAGCATGTGAAGAGGCAGACACCCAGGGAGAGTGCCATGTGCCAGCTGAGAGGGAGCCAGGAGTGTGGTAGCCGCAGGCCTAGGGCTGCCAGGAACCCCGGAAGCCAGGAGGAGTGGGGAAGGGTTTTCCCTCGAGTCTCAGAGGGAGTGTGGCCCTGCCTGCACTTGACTCTGGGCTTCTAGCCTCCAGAACAAGAGAATGAATTTCTGTTGTCACCCAGTCTGTAGTTCTGCATTACAGCAGCCCTAAGAAATGACTATTTTTAGTGTGACACTTGCCCACTGAGTGAGAATCTCACCCACCGCTGTTTTTTGTTCTGTTTTTACCTTGAAGGTGATCATATAAATTGAACTATATGTATTGATTGAGTTCTGTGAGTTAAGGATTCCCTCTTTATCCCCATCCCAAGTCTTTCTATTCCCTGGAGAAAAAAAAAAAAAAATGGGCAGAGCATCTAAAGAGACACCTCTCCAAACAGGACATACAAATGGCCAAGAGACATATGAAAAAATGCTCATCGTCACTAATCATCAGAGAGATGCAAATTAAAACAACAATGAAGTATTACTTCATACCTGTCAGAATGGCCGCCATCAACAAATCATCAAAACAACAAGTGCTGGTGAGGGTGTGGAGAAAAGGAGACTCTAGTACACTGCTGGTGGGAATGCAGACTGGTGCAGCCACTATGGAAAACACTATGGTGTTACCTCAAAAAATAAAAAAATTGATCTGCCATTTGACCCAGTGATCCCACTTCTAGGGATCCCAATCAGAAAGACTATATGTACCCCCATGTTCATAGCAGCACTATTTACAGTCACTAAGATCTGGTAACAGCCCAAGTGTCCATCAATAGATGAATGGATAAAAAAGCTGTGGTACATATACACAATGGAATATTATGCAGCTGCAAGAAAGAGAGCTCTCTTATCCTTTGAGATCACACGGAGGGACCTGGAGAGTATTATCTTAAGCAAAACAAGCCAATCAGAGAAAGACAAATATCACATGATCTCACTTACTTGCGGAATATAATGAACAAAACAAACTGATGAACAAAATAGACCCAGAGACATAGAAGTAGGGTACAGACTGACAAGCCTCAGAAGAAGGGGTGGGGGGGATAAACCACAGAACTTATATGCATGTATGCGTAACCATGGACATAGACAACAATGCTGGGGACGGGGCCAGGAGGGTATCGGGAGGAGGGTATCAATGGGGGGGAAAGTAGAAACATCTGTAACAAAAATAAATTTAAAAAAAATCACGTGTATGTGTGCACACACGTATGTGTACACATACTAAAGCAAATAAACATTAAATAATAGTGATAACACTAAATGCTAGTGAGGTTTCAGAGAAACTCATATATTGCTGGTGCTTATATGAAATGGTACAGCCATTTCCACTCTGGAAAACAGTGGGCAATTTCTTATAGAACTGAATATGCAACTACCATACAACATAGCAATTTGACACCTGGACACTTATCCCAAAAACATAAAAATTATGTTCACACAAAAACCCTTAAATGTGCCCAGCTGGTTTGGCTCAGTGGATTGAGCATTGTCCCATGGACTGAGAGGTCCTGCTTCCATTCCCAGTCAGGGCACATTCCTGGGTTGTGGGCTCGATCCCCAGTAGGGGGCATGCAGGAGGCACCTGATAGTTGTTTCTCTCTCACATCAATGTTTCTATCTCTTTTCCCCTTCCTCTCGTTCTAAAAAATCAATTAAAAATGAATTATATATTGTTAAAGTTATTTGTTTAGTTTCTATCTTTCCTATCATATAATCTCAAAGAGTGAAGAAACTAGATCTTATTACTGTATCCCCAGAGCCTACCATTTTATCCTGTACATAGTAAAAGGTCAATATATCTTTTTTAAACTATAAATGACTGGATTGATGAATGAATAAATAAGTAAATTTAAATACTGTTCAAATCATGAAACAGAATTACCTGCACCATAATTACAGTATTACACAGTTAGCTTTAATGATGTTAGTAATACTCCCAAATAAAAGATTAAAAATTTAAAAAAATATATGTGTATAAACAAACAAAAGGAGGAAATAAGTGAGAATGACTTTACTACTAATCCAGGTTACGGTCCCTCCCTGATACTCCAAAGTACTTAACAAACAAAGGAAAAGAGGTATCTTACTATATCATCCACCTTTCAAAGGAGGCACAGATATATCTAAATAAAAGTAGTTTTGATACAAGCTCTACTTTTCTATTCTATTCAGACAGAAAACTCAGATTCTCTAAAACTTTACATTTATATGCAATCATTTAAAACAAGCAACATGTAGAGATTGTACAGTCTCTTAACTCTTATTAAATGGGTAAATTTAATTTATTCAAGTAAAATCAAAGCTTAAATATTTTAAAAATTGAATCTTCATATTTTAAAAATCAATTAATAAAAGAAAACTACAAACTCCTGAACCAAAATTTTATTTAAAATTTTTAGGCATATTAATGCGTATGAAATATTTTCATAACACATGACATGTAACGATGTTAGCACATTGAACTATAATAGAAAATATTTGTATACAATTTTTGGATCGCTAGACTACTTATTTCTCCTGTGAATTAATGTCCAGTTTTCTTAAGTCACCTTTGTCATGGAACATCAAGTAGGTTTAAAATCTTTATATTATTGTTTAATAACTTCCTAATAAGGTTTTGAGTTTCTAGTCGACTTACACATAATATTTTTTTCAATGTATGGATTACTGTAATAGCTTTTTCTCTCATCTCTGATGGAACGTATTTAATATCTAAATATTGAGATAACTTAGATCTAGAATTATAAAGCATGTTAATAACCGTTTCAATGTCATCGATTCCAAAACTGTTTCGTCCTAGTGGTAATAACTGGGATTGATACATTTTTTTTAATCTGTGTTCTGCTGCTTCTGCTAAAGCAAGGCTTCGTTTTAGGTGCTCTCTAGAAGCTTGAATGTCTTCTCTATATTCTGGCTTGAGGCTCTCAGCTAGAGGTACATGTTGCACTTTTGAACGAATATCTGAAATTTTGTTCAAAATTTCTCTGTTACTCAAAATTAGTGGGTGGTTTTCAAATGCTGGTGTTTCATATTCGCCTGAGAGCTGAGGAACATCTTCTAGTTCCATGGAGGTATCCCAGTCAGTGCTCCTACTTGAAGAATTTTCAGGTAATTCAGTAACATTTGGCCATAACATTGGTGCCTCAGTGGGTGGCTGTGTCTCTAGCGATGGCTCTGGCTGTGGCTCCAGTGGTGGCTCTGGGTATGGCTCCAGTGGTGGCTCTGGGTGTGGCTCCAGTGGTGGCTCTGGGTGTGGTTCTAGCGGTGGCTCTGATGGTGGCTCTAGCGGTCGCTGTGACAATGGCTCTAGCGGTGGCTGTGACAGTGGCTCAGACTGTAGCTCTGGCTCTGGCTCTTCTTCTTCAATATAAGGTTCTTTTGTACTTAAAACAACAGAAACATTGTTTGGTTTAATCGACCAGAATGATGTAGTTTCAGGTCGTTTTACAGTTTCTAGTTCTGGTTGGAAGTCTCTAGTAGAGAAACTTCTAGTTGTAAATGCAGATGTAGTTTTATCACTGGTAGGGTCACTTAAAACATCATTCCCAGTTGAAGCTTTGCCATCATGTGTAATTAACTCCTTCAATTTTGATACCTTCGATATCATAGAATAAACAGTATTTGGAAACGTTGATGTTGTCTCACGGCCTGGCTCCCTAGTGGGAACACTGAGTAGTAAGTTCTGTAAAACTTGCACATAATGATTCAAGTTTTTTTCTTCGTCAGGTGTCACAGTTATGCCTTAAGGAGGAAAAATCAAACAATAAGTAACATTTATTATTATATATGATATATTGACAAAACCTACTGACCAAAATTTACTTCATATGCTATTATTTAAAAGTTAAAGAACTAAGAAATAAAGCATATCTGACAATCAACTGTCACTTAAAAGAACAAAATTATTTTTTCAAATTCTTATTAAAACAAATGAGCAAGATTAGTGCAAAAGTTGCATATTAACACAGTTCTATCTTTTTGCTTTTACTCTCCTATATAACTTCCGATTCAGTAGAAACTTATTAAAACAAAATTCTTGATTTTGTCCTCCAACATAGTGCGTGCTGAAATAGGCTCATACTGGCTCACCAGAGCTAACTGTTAAATTTTAGGAACTCTGTGAGCCAAATATTAAACACAGACATCATTAAAATTAAATTACCTGAATTTGCATTTAAATAAATTTTATTAAAAATAAAAGTAATAAATATTATTTTATTTCACTAGTATCTATGTTCTTGAGGTTATTTACATCTAGGGTATCTGTATGGTAGAAATGCTGTCTAATGGTGTGCTACCGTAAATCTCTTTTTACCTCCCTGCTCAGTGATGTCAAGTAGATAGCTTGAAATCAACCATGATGGGGCAAATGCTATAAATCAGGGCTTACCCTTCTTTCCTTCTTTTAAACATTCATCAGTATACCACTGCCTTCACCTAAGCAAAGATCTAACTACAGCCTGTGGGTCATCTCCACCTAACTGTTTTTGTAAATAAAGTTTTATTGAAACCAGACACTTTTGCTTATTTGCTTATGTATTGTCTGTAGCTCTTTTGGCTCCAACAGAGGAACTGAGTACTGAGTAGCTGCAACAGAGACCGCATGGCCTGAGAAGACAAAAATACTTACTACTTGGCCCTTTACAAAAACCTTTGCAGATTCCTGCCTAAACCATCAACATGTCACTCTTATAATAAAAATGGCAGTTCTATTTATGCTGGTATTTGCAGCATCTGAGTGGTGAAGTCTCTCATTCCCATTATCATAGTGGAAAACAAAGACTATTAAATAAGATATACTGAAATTCTACTCAACTTCCCTACTCCTAGTCAGGAATTTTTAAGTGTTGGAATATTGTATTGCATGTAATTTTTAATAGATTCTCCACTATCAATGGTACAATTGATTTAATTCAAGGAAGTAAGTCACTTTTTACCAAACTCTAATGCATAACATCCAGCTGAACCCCCTCTTCAGGCAAAATGAAATACAGCAACAAACTTTCTGTTCAGGAGGTACTTTTTATTCAGCTGTTTGGCAAGCACAGAATATCTAAAAATGCTTTATATTTACGTGTTTCACCTCTCTTCCTTAACTCTTCTGTTACAACTTAGAAAGACCATATGGAGCCTAATCAAAATTGAGAGCATTATATATAAATTTTAAAATATTCTTAATGAAAACAGTTTATTGAGGAAATGTGACAGTGGGAAAATACTAGACTTGTCTGGAGATCTAGATTCTAAAAGTAGATTCTGCATTTTATGTCATGCTGAGAAAAGCCTTGCATACTCCAAGATCCAGATGATGATGGTGATAGGTGAAAAAAGGAAGATATAGAACATAAGGTAGATTTTTGTATTATCCTTACACTAATATTTTTTAATCACTAACATAGTATCATACATTTTGTCTGTGAATTATAGATTTAAAAAAAATGGACAGAACGTCCTGGCCAGTTTGGCTCAGCAGGTAGAGCATCAGTCCGCAAACCGTGGACCAAAGAGTCCAAGGACATGTACCTTGGTTACCGTTCGGTCCCTGGTTTGGGTCTGGATCATGTGGGATGCAACCAATCGATGTGTCCCTCTCACATCGATATTTCTCTCTCTCTCTCCCCCCCCCCTCCTCCTCCCACTCTATCTGAAGATAAATGGAAAAACATCCTTGGGTGAGGATTTTTTTAAAAAATGGACAGAAGGGTAACACACCAAACTCACATGGGTAGTTGCCTCTGAGGAGAGGAAATGGAACTAAAGTTGGTCATTAAAGAGGACTTCAAACTTATCTATAATGTTTTACTTCCTAAACACACACACACACACAGGCATACACACCCACTCATTTAACATAGTAAAACATTAAAAGTTGTTTTTTTTTTCAATCCTCACCTGAGGACATTTTTCCATTTTTTGTTCAGATAGACTGGGAGGGAGGGAGGGAGAGAGAGAGAGAGAGAGAGAGAGAGAGAGAGAGAGAAGAGAGAGGAGAGAGGAGAGAGAGGAGAGAGAGGAGAGAGAGGAGAGAGAGGGGAGAGAGGGGAGAGGGGAGAGAGAGACACATGTACGTGAAAGGGACACATTGAGTGGCTGCCTCCTGCACCACCCCAACCGGGGCCGGTGTGAATCACAACCGAAGTACATGCCCTTGACCGGAATTGAACCTGAGACTCATTGGTCCACAGGCCAACGCTCTAACCGCTGAACCGAACTGGCCAGGGCTAAAAGTTACATTTTGAAAAGTAAAATAACTTATGTATGTATTCTCATATGTATAAAATGCACTATCCTGAATCTAGAGCTTTCCTGAAAGAAAATATTAAGTAAAATGAGTATGTAGCCTCGAGTGCAGTAAAAAAAGAGAAAATCTTTTATTCTGGTCCTGGCTCTACCACTTTCTAGCATCATGACCTAAGGCAATTACTTAATTTCTCCAAACTATAAAATTAAAATACTGTATCTACCCTTTTATCTCACAGAACCAAATAAATTAGATACTTGAAAATATTTCAAAAGCTAGAGAGCACTATATACAATAATAATATTCCTTATAAAGGTAACTGCTTACACTTCTCATTTTAAGATATAAATTTAAGTCCCTAAAAAGAACATTAAAGCCCGGCTAGTGTGGCTCAGTGGACTGAGCATCATCCAATGGGCTGAAAGGTCCTGGTTCGATTCCTGGTCAGGGCACATGCCCGGGTTGCAGGCTCCATCCCCAGTGTGGGGCATGCAGGAGGCAGCCAATTGATGTTTCTCTCTCACATTGATGTTTCTATCTCTCTCTCCCTTTCTCTCTCTCTAAGAAATCAATAAAAATATTTTTTAAAAAGAATATTAAAAACACGCTTTGTCCTATTTGGCAAAACATTAGAAGCTTCCCCCTAAAGACAGGAATAAGGTCAGGATACTAATACCTTCATTACCATATAACAGGGTGTTGGAGGTATTATTAAATGTAATTAGACACAGGAAATAAATGGAAGCATGAGAATTCAGAAGAAAAAGATAAAACTATCCTTATATGTAGATATAATTATACATCTAGACCACACAAAAGAACCAGTTGAAAAACTACTATAGGGAGTAAGAGAATTTAATCAAGTAGCAAGTTGGAAAATCAATATATAAAAATCAATATACAAATGTAAACTGATTATAAGATAAAATGAAAGGGAAGATGCTATTTTGATAGCAAAAAAAAAAAAAAAATCTAATAATAAAGTTTAAAAGACATGCCCAAAATCTATACGAAGAATTATACGAGGCCGAATATAGACATTCAGAGATGAGGCTATAATCTCTGGAACCCGTGAATGTTACTTTATAAGGAAAAAGGGTGTTTGCATGTTTGATTAAGTTAAGGATCTTGACAAAGGGGATTATCCTAGATATAGTCACAAATGTTTTTATAAGAGAAAGATGTAGAGAGATTTGATACACACACAGACAAGGAAGTGGTAATGAGGAGGTGGCAGAGATTAGCGTGGCCACAAGACAAGAAATGCGGGCAGCCACCAGCAGCTGGAAAAGGCAATGAAAATAATGTCTCCCAGAGCTTCCAGAGGGAGCACAACTCTGCCCTACAACTTGATTTTGGCTCAATGAAACTGACTTTAGACTCAGGCCTCCAGTGAGAGAATACATTTGTTAGTAATTTGTTACAACAGCCTCAGAAGACTGACACAGGAATATAAAATCTAAAAGGCATAATGTAAACTTCTACAAATGGAAAGATATACCATGTTCCCAGACAACAAGAGCAATATCATAAAATGCTCAGATGTCATATTCTCCATTAATTCATACATTTAGCATGCTCCTAATAAAATATCATTATTTTCTGAAGACAGGAAAATGGATTATGAAGTTCATTTGAAGAACAAATGAGTAAGAATAGCCAGAAAAACAGGAGCTACCCTTATTATATATTAAAATACAGTATAAAGCCTCTATTATAAAAATATTTTTGTAATGCATATGAATACATAGAACAGAAGATACAGAAACAGATCAAAACAGATCAAATTGCATATTGAAATATAGCTCCAGGTGAAGCAAAGTTTCAATATATAGCCCTGGCTGGTTTGGCTCAGCGGTTGGAGTGTTGGCCTGCAGACCAGAGAGTCCTGGGTTTGGTTCCTGCTAGGGGCACATACCAAAAAAAAAAAAAATATATATATATATATAAAAATTTATATATATAAAGTAATATATATATTATATATATTATATATATTATATAATATATAATATATATTATATATAATATAAAGTATTGTAGATAATAAATTAAGAAGCCACTTAGAAATGGAATATGATTATTTTTCAAAGATTATCCATATCAATGATTATATCACAAAAAAATGCAAGATCAGACATGCTTTCTCATGAAAGAACACAATACCTTCAATGTAGCAGTCTTGTAAAAAAAGTCAAATTTGAATCTAACAGGTCTGTCTAGATCTAACTAACAAAAATACATGGGACACAAAGGAAAATATAAACTATACCATGGGTAAGTAATCAGCAAAATTTAGACTGCAGCAAACTACAGGGCGTATGATCCAATTTCTTCAACAATTACATCACAAGGGGAAAAATAGAGATGAAGAGAATTAACAGACATGAACAAATTACAAGTATGAATCTTATTTGAATCCCAATTCAGTCAAACTGGAAGAGAGAGAGAGAATTAAGAAAATTTGAATACTAATCAGGTACTTTATAATATTAAGGGA